GGCTTCTGTTCCTATTTAATTTTAAAAATTTTCGTTCGCTAGAAATTTCATTTCTAATTATCCTTGAAAAAAAAATCGATTAAAATTCTCCTGAGATTAATTTTCAATTCCGAAAACGTTGATTGGAAATAAAGAGATCACCAAGAAATACCAATTTTATTCTCAATTTTGAAAACAGTTACATATTGAAAGGGGCTAGCATAAAATGCATTATAGTCCTCATTGCTCCAATCCTCAGCTAACTCTCAATTTTCTCTCAAACACTGGAAATTATGGAAAGCCCAACTATCAACTTGGTTCGCCAGAGTCATTAATATAATTTTCTCGAAATTGTGATAAATTGTCTTGGAATTTTCTCGAAAATCTAAGAATTTTCAAGAGCCGCGTATGAAAAAATTTAATAGAAAAATCTAGCGAATTTGTTGGAAATTTCTAATGCAGTTTGTATTGAATTTTCTACTAGTTTTTGACCGATTCTAGCAAAATGTTCAATAGAATATTCAACAGAAAAAGTCAATGGAATTCGATTTTTCTATGTAACTTATTCTCTTCAGATATTTTCTATAGAATGTCCTTGGCTCAAATTTTTCAAGTTTTTTTTCAGTCTATTTTCCTTTTATTCTCATGAAGAAAATCAAACAAAAAAAGTTAAAAAATTGGAGAAGAGGAAATTCTATAGAAAATATCTCAATAGAATAAGTTATATAGAAAAATAATCGAATTCTATTGACTTTTCTATTGATAATTTTTGGTAATCGGATCTAGCCTTCCCTGGGCCAATCAGAGTTCAGTATTCAATAACATAAAGTACTTCCCAATTAAAATTACAGCAGTTATTGCCCCCTAGCTTTTGATAATTTCCCTCTAGCTCTGCAATTGTTTTTCTAACCAAATAACTGTCAAATATTATCCTGTGGAGTGAAAGAAAGTCATGAAAAAAGTTAAANGCTAGAAATTTCATTTCTAATTATCCTTGAAAAAAAAATCGATTAAAATTCTCCTGAGATTAATTTTCAATTCCGAAAACGTTGATTGGAAATAAAGAGATCACCAAGAAATACCAATTTTATTCTCAATTTTGAAAACAGTTACATATTGAAAGGGGCTAGCATAAAATGCATTATAGTCCTCATTGCTCCAATCCTCAGCTAACTCTCAATTTTCTCTCAAACACTGGAAATTATGGAAAGCCCAACTATCAACTTGGTTCGCCAGAGTCATTAATATAATTTTCTCGAAATTGTGATAAATTGTCTTGGAATTTTCTCGAAAATCTAAGAATTTTCAAGAGCCGCGTATGAAAAAATTTAATAGAAAAATCTAGCGAATTTGTTGGAAATTTCTAATGCAGTTTGTATTGAATTTTCTACTAGTTTTTGACCGATTCTAGCAAAATGTTCAATAGAATATTCAACAGAAAAAGTCAATGGAATTCGATTTTTCTATGTAACTTATTCTCTTCAGATATTTTCTATAGAATGTCCTTGGCTCAAATTTTTCAAGTTTTTTTTCAGTCTATTTTCCTTTTATTCTCATGAAGAAAATCAAACAAAAAAAGTTAAAAAATTGGAGAAGAGGAAATTCTATAGAAAATATCTCAATAGAATAAGTTATATAGAAAAATAATCGAATTCTATTGACTTTTCTATTGATAATTTTTGGTAATCGGATCTAGCCTTCCCTGGGCCAATCAGAGTTCAGTATTCAATAACATAAAGTACTTCCCAATTAAAATTACAGCAGTTATTGCCCCCTAGCTTTTGATAATTTCCCTCTAGCTCTGCAATTGTTTTTCTAACCAAATAACTGTCAAATATTATCCTGTGGAGTGAAAGAAAGTCATGAAAAAAGTTAAAATGAGTCGGTTTGGGAAGGATCCGATTACCAAAAATAATCCGTCGAATACTACTCGACCTCCAAAATTAATTGGACATTCCCTCATGTTTTCCTGCGCGCTCGGGATTTTAATCTGCAAAACTTCTCCCTCTCGTTGCTACGTAACAAAACAATCGGGAAATATCCGATAATTTCCGAGACCTTCAGGTCTCGCGATATTACTACTGAATATTTTTTTGTTAAACATCTCAATAGAATCGGCCAAAAACTAACTGAGAGTTCAATAGATATCCAATAGAATTTTTTAACCAATTCGCTAGGTTAATATTTCTATTATCCCTCGATCACTCGCGCTCGGCCGCCAGTCTTCGTTCATCGCAAGGTTAGCGCGGCGGCGCTGGAGTAAACCGAGCTCGCTGTTACCACGTCGGCGCCTACCGCTGCGTGCGCATTTCAAATGTGGCAGAGAATGAAGCTGTAAATGTAGCTCGCTCGACTGGTCGACAGAGATTCACTCGCACCGGGCGGAGCGACGCGGCGCACTTTCTTGTCCGTTCGACATTTTTTTTGTAGCTAAATAAATTTTTCGGAAAAAAAACAGTATGCCAACGCTGAATAAAAAAATTGAACTAGGAACTCTAATTTTTCAGGATTTTTGAGCGTCAAGAAACACTAAAATATAAATAGACAAAAACAGGCGGCGGAATTTTTTCATCTATGACTTTCTAGAAAACCCCAGCATTGTCTAGAATTTTCTAAAAAACTGGGGAATTTCTTCGAATGTTTCCAAGAATCAGAGAATTCTCTCGAAAACTTTTTGAGATTTGAATGTTGATTATTTTTCTCACTCGGATTTGACCCAATCAGAGCGCAGTATTTAAGGCTGTCAAACAGTTATATTTCCCAAATTTCTAAACAATTTCCGACGGAAATTCACTAGTAGCTTTTCAAATGATTCTCATCTTTCAACGCATTTCACGTTTAATATTCTGTGTGGCAGATAAACAAAAAAGTGGGTTTTATAACACACAGCCATACATTTATATGTATGGCTGTGTAAATGTATCCGGATGCATTTACACAGCCATACACCCCAAACATGAAACCACAACTCATTTCAGAGTCATTTCTAACTTTGGAAAGCCCAACTATCAACTTGCTTTGCCAGAGCATTCGACTTTATTTATTGACTCATTTCTAATTTGTGACTGTCCTAAATAAAATAGCTTCATCTCTAGATAGATGGAAAATGACCGTAATTACCACATTTGAAACCACTGCACTTTGCTTGGCCGAAATCCGACTGGAAACATAATCCGTCAAATACCACTCGAGCTTCAAAATTAATCGGATATTTTACGATAGCGTCGTTACCTAGGAACGAGTGTGTCAAATTTTGTAGAAAAATCCCTCGTGCTTAGTACTTCGAGATTTTAAACCTGTAAAATTTGACACAATCCGAATAATTTTAAATATCCGATAATTTTTAAGCACTAGTGGAATTACTACCGAAAATAGGTTTTTTGTTTCTCAATTATTTCTCAATTGTTTCAAAAAAGTTGAGAATTGGATTCTTGATTTTCAGTTGACTCTCAATTCGCTGAGAGTAGATTGGGAGACAATTGAGAACCAAAAATCCAACTCTCATCTCTCAAAAAAGTTGAGGGTACATTTTAAATTTTAATTCTATTTGAATTTATTTAATGCCTAAAGGAGGTTAGGCGGTGTTTGAGGTGAATTTGGAGTGAGAATTTCCGTGGTTCCCGGTAGCTTAGTCGGTAAGAGTGCCCGGCGCGTATCTGGGAGACCCGGGTTCGATTCCCGGCTGGGTGAAGCGGAAATTTTTTCTCTCTAAATTCTAATTCTCTTAAAATTTTTTTTTTTTTTTCGCTCCCCACTTATTCAGTCAGAGAGCTCTACGCTCAACGCAGCATCCTCACTCACTTCCACTACTGCGCTATTGATGCACCAATGATCGACACCGCACGCACCGAGTCGAGGTACCTCCAGTCGCAGTGGCCTACAGTCAGTTCAGTTCAGCGCCCGAAGCAGCCGGTGATAGCTCAAAAAGAGCTCCGCGAAGTGAAATAAATTCGGGAAAGTGTTTTTCGGACTTAGAAAATTCGCGAGTTTGTGGACTTAGTGAAATTCTCGACACGTCCCTCTTGGCACTTCGAGAATTTTTGTAATATCCCTTCTGGATTTATTCTTGATTTGTCCCTTCTGGACTTAGAATTATTTCTTGATTTTGGGACTTATAATTATTTACCTTGATTTGTCCCCTCTGGACTTAGAATTATTTCTCGATCCAAACTTAGAATTTTTCTGCTATTTCAAACATCTAATTTCGAACTTCCCATTCACCAAATAATTACTAAAATTAATTCAAGAATTTCATCAAGTCCACTACACTTTAATAAACAAATCTAATCCGATAACCGTTGAATACCCGGCGGTGCCTGAATTGACTAGGAAACTCGGCTTAAAAATCAAATAAAAATTTGAAATAAAAAAAAATCAATAGCCTAATAAATAAATCAATACCCTAAAAAATAAATTCTGAGAATTTTATTGAGACGATCTGAATGCTTTGAACATTTTGTTCGGTGTTCAGCGATTCTCATGAGAACTCTCAAAATTTGCTGACTTTTTGTGAAGTTATTCCGAGGATTTTGCCGAGACGATCTGAAAATGCTTTGAACATTGGTTCGGTGTCTTCAGTGACCCCCACGAAAATTCTCGCAATACAATTCATATTTTATTTTCCGCAAAACTTAAGTTTAANCTGACTTTTTGTGAAGTTATTCCGAGGATTTTGCCGAGACGATCTGAAAATGCTTTGAACATTGGTTCGGTGTCTTCAGTGACCCCCACGAAAATTCTCGCAATACAATTCATATTTTATTTTCCGCAAAACTTAAGTTTAAAATTGGAATATTCCAGTGATCCTAACCAGTTCAGCTCCAGTACTCGAGGTAGCCGGTCATTGTCACGTATTCCTACGTGGTCTCCCTCAAATTAATCAGAAATGTAGAGTTAAATAACATTTTATTAATCTATGGTATGAAGCTCAGCCTCATTACATTTTCTCGATAAAAATATAATTGATGACGAGAAACTTCACAAAAATAAATAACATAGATAATTTTTATAAAAACATTTCACCACTCTCAAACTGTTGCCTTTAAATTCCAGCATGCATCCTTGATCCTTCAGAGTTGAACAACTCCTATCCTGATACTTGCTGAACACCAGCTCCATGACGCATGATATTTATTCGCTCATATCAGAGCCCATAAACTCCAGAAACAGGAATTTACCTGAAAAAGAGAAATAAAGAATGAAATAGAAATCTCTGACACATGCTATAATCGCTCTATCGACAACACATTCCCAGAAAATGACTAAATACCCACGATAATGACCTCTATTAACGAAAATAAAATAAAAAAACAAAACAAGTATGTTTTGTTACTAACGGAATTACCACATTCCCAATGTTTCCTTATCCTGGCCTATCCAGAGTATCCAGGTACAGCATCGACATGCTTCCCAACTCCCAGAAGTGCCTGATTGACTACTGCACTCCCTTCCAAAGCTCGAGAGACCATTGGTGTCCTTCTCTAAAGAGCATTCCCACGTGTTAACCCGTAAACACGAAAAATAAATTAATATTTGGCAGAATAACTATTTCTGGCTCATCCTGAGCATCCTAAGCCTCAGAACAGACCCTGCAGAGTCAAATTAAATAAATAGATATAATAGAGGCATGTCAAATTAATAAGAGATATTGTTTAATCATAGTCGTCCTCGCGACACTAATATTTACCATAATAAGCTGAATTATACCTCACTCTTATATATTTCTTTAGGGCATATCGTCCTAATGTTCCTATGCCGCAAGTGCATTCCTGAAAAGGGAAAATAATATAATCATCTACATGAAATAATACATATTCTATTTCAGCTACCTTAAAAAATAAATAAATATGGATATAAAATTTTACGTACTTACAGTTACGCACAAGGTAGCCAGTTACTCTTATATCCAAATAATAATCCTGGAAAAGGAGAAAATAAAAGTAAATAAATAAATACATCAGATTTATCATTTCAGAATGACAATGCAAATAATATAGACAATTTAAATGTCACAATTCAATAAATATTTTTCATAAGCAAATATTCTCTCCTTGAGAAAAGGAAATATTAATCGAAATAACTATTCAAATGGAAAGTTCAATAAAATAAACAATAAAACTGAGAGACTATATGACAATACATTCAAAATAAACTCAGTCAAAACAGAACCATGCGGAACATAACCTCACCTCTCACTTTGACAAAAGCCAAAATATTTAAATCTAAGCAATGAATGCAGGTAAAATCATGAAAATTTATGATTAAAATATGTGGAGTGGAACAGAACACTTTAAAAATAATCAAAAATATAAAAAGTCAATAAATAAATATTTACCTATTTTACTCCTCTCGTATACGTTGACAGCCTGTTGTCACTCGAAAACATGACCTCAGAAAAATCAATAATGCTGAAAACAATAAAAGTCCATTAGAAACTTGACAAATATACACTTTGAAAATACTTATCTCAGAGAAAATATGTGTCACTATGACATTGCGTAAGGTCATGCGCACAACTATCCCAGCGACAGTCGCTGCTTGCGGTAATGCTCGTTCGAAGCGCGGCTAGGTATCCAAACCTGTAACTAAAAATAATCGAATTAATTCGATTAAAATGAAATCAAATAAAAATATTTAGGGACCAGTAAGGAGCCCACGATAAACAAATAATAAATGAAATAATATTTAGGGACCAATAAGGAGCCCACGATACACAAATAATAAATGAAATAATATTTAGGGACCAATAAGGAGCCCACGATAAACAAATAATAAATGAAATAAGAATTAGGGACCAATAAGGAGCCCACGATACATTCAATGTGAACGATAAATGCGAAATAAAGTAAATTTATGAGCGATCGAGCTCTGCAATAACTGAGAAAACTGCTATTTTGTCTCAACAAGGCTAACAAAAGAACAAAAGAGAAAAGATATATCGTAGGGAGGGCGTAACAGTATTTGCCACCTTGATATTTCTGGTTAACAAATCTAAATAATTAAACTCTATTAATTCGGAACCAGTAAGGAGCCCACAAATACAAATACAAAACAAATACAAAACTACTTAAAATTTTAGACGAGTTGGCCCGTCATGTTGAGGCAAGTGAGGAGCTGCGGCAACGAGGAAAGTGCTCGCGAAAATATGTGAGATCTCCTAAAATTCTAGAGTTTCCAAGAAGAGACTAAATTTCAGGATCTCAGCAGTTGTATGACTCTTTCAAACATGAAACGAAAACAAAGGCATTTATCATGATCAAGAATATTAACAAAATAATTAAATTTACAATGAAAAATTGAAAAGAAATGTAAAAATACTAAAAATTGTCCGATCGATGTCATCGACATTTCAAAAGAGAGAGAAAATTATATGTAAAACAGAAATATTGTCACAATAATTTTAATATTGTAAACTACAAGTTAATAGCAATTTACTTGCAAGCAGCCGAACGCATTATGGCCAATGCAACAGAAAGAGACAACTATGTACTATCTCTCTCCTACATACAGAAAACTACAAAAGAGGTGGAACTGTTCTTCTCCACCGAGGATACCAGCATCCTATTGGCTTTATGGCCCCACCACGGTGCACCTGTCGCACCTGCGCAGTCGAGCGCAACTTTTTAGTCAAGACGAAAAGATCTCGAAGCTACAGCAGTAGTATCTCACTCCTGTTCCTTCTGAACAGTCAGTCGAGAGTCTGCAGTCGACAGTCGACAGTCGACAGTCATCAGTCGACAGTAGTAGTCAGTACTTAGTAGCTGTTCCTTCTGAACAGAAGAATTCCATCGTTGTTCCTTTAGAACAGTCGTCTCTCCGCGTTCGTTCGGAACGGTATCCTCTTGCTCTTCAAGCAACTTGGTAAATTAATAACTTCGATTATTAACGGTAATAAGCTTGAGACAAGCTTCACCGAATTTTGTTCAAGTCTCCTATGGAGTTTGGAACTTGAATTTCATTTTATTCAAAATGGAACCCCCCTCTGGATCTCCATAAAATATTAAAACACAGAAATAACTTTGAAACTTGAATAAACCCAATTAAACCGAAATCGATTGGATTTCCGCGGTGCAGAAAGAACTGACTAGTAGCTCCGCGAACTGATCGTGTTATTTTAACAAAATTGTCAATCCATTTTATTTAAAGTGAAATAAACACAGTGAAATTACTTTAGTGACGTTTATTCAGTGCACAAGTGCAAGTGTTTATTCAGTGCATTTTCCTTAAAATCACCGTCAGTGTTGAAAATCCTTCGAATTGTTCATCTACGGCTTCTAGGCTGGGGATGCATATTCTAAGGTTTCTTGACAAATAGACGGCTATTACTTAGTCGAAATTTTGGTGACTTGTCTTGCCGCTTTTCCCGCACAGGCGGTAGTTTGCCAAGTTAACCCGATTTTCACTAAAGTGAAAAATGTCAGACAGTTAATTGTCTTCGAGTTTCAGTCACGGGTAGTTTTATTGCCTGGACTGTCCACTCGCAGATAATGGCTCACCTGATTTTCCCTATCCCTTTTAAATAATAAATTCCGAATACTAAATTCATTCGGCATTCGTTAAAATTGTTACGATAATTTTGCCGAGACGACGAGTGATCACCGACGGCTAATACTGCTGTCTCCACTCAGAACCCCACGAGAATTATCATAACGATTCAGAATGACTGACGATAGAGCTCTAGTCGATTGTTTCTGCATCCGACGCGTGAAATCTTTAAAATAATAAATAAATTCTATTCCATTCAAGTGTTCCGTATTTCATCAGTGATCGAGAGTATATATTTAAAAAAACTGTATCCAGTGAATTTCTGTATTATATTTGAGAGTTTTATTCGAACATTTTCTACGAGAATCTTCGTTCCTGACCACCTGTGGATTCAAGGGCGCTCTCGTTGTTTCGGCCTAGAGAAGGACGATAATCCGAGTGCAGAGCAGAATATCTTCCTCCGAAGCATCCAGGAAAAGTGGTAAGCAAATTGAAAATAACCGATACACCCGGAGATCGATTGATCCTCCAAATTTAAGTCGTGAAGTTACCGTGAACGGAAAATCGAGGATGTCAACTCAACCTGGTAACGGCAAGTCATGTTGTAGTCGGCTGCCGCTCGACGGCTATAACTCCATTCGGCTTCCCAAAAATCTCGAATCTCGTTCTTAACTTCATGGAACCGTGTTTCCTTGCATTTCTGAAAAATAAATAATTTTCGTTTATTTTCTTAGAATCCAACAGGAATACGTAACACCATATCTAAAGAAGAGCTCCACGAAGCGAAACAAACTCATCCTTGATTTATTCCCGGATCAATAAAGAACACGAATGAGCTTTTCAACCTAGCTTTTCAACCTAGTTACGGCAAGTCAAAGGGTAATCGGCTACCGCTCGACGATTATTTCTTAAAAATTCGGTTTCCCCACTTCTCTTGTTCGATCAAATTTTAATCAATCGGGAATACGTAACACTAATCGCGAAGCTCATGTGGTTGATCTGAGTAGAATACCCCCAATATTCGAAGGGAGAGACGAGTGGAGTAATCACTAGAGTCAAGCGAGGGAAATGAGTAGAGTATTCCCGAGGGTCAAACAGGAAAGATAAACGAAGTGATCACACGGAGCAAATGGCTACACTGAGAAAAAAGTTTAATCCTGCCAATCAAAGTTGTGTCAGACAAACGAAATTTTCACACAAAATCTCCCTATAAATTTTTGCTTGAAACAAATTTAATTGGCAATATTATATTTTTTTTCTAAAAGTGGAAACATTCACAGTATTTTTACCCTTGCGAGGAAAGCAAGTGGACTAAGGGAACAATGATAATAGTGAAATAAGGAGACAACTTGATTAAACACGAGGTTTAAATGAGCAAGATGAGTGGAGATGAGTGGAGATGAGTGGAGTGATAGCGTCAAATAGAAAAGACAACTGGAGTAAACAAAGAAAAACAAGGGTTAGATGAAAGATTATAGAGTAATTACAACAATCAAGCAGAGGACGTGAGTGGATTGATTGCAAAGGTCGTACTGGGGACACGTAGAGTTGTAATGACAGGGGTAAACACTCTCTTTTGATGCTTTTAGCCATTTTCCTCACGTGATCACTCCTTTTTTATCTCTCTTGTTTGACCCTCGTGAGTACTTCACTCGTCTCCTTCACTTGAATCTTGTCATTACTTCACTCTCTCCCCCTTGACCTTTATGATCACTCCATTCTGATCCATTGCTTGACCCTCGTCATGGCTTCTCTTTGATTTGACCCTTACGTGCACTTTACTTGTCTCCTTCGACTGACCCTTAAGTTTAGTCTATTTACTTCCACCGTTTGACCCTTGTAATCACTGTGATCAAAAAAAAAAAACTCAATTACCAAGTCTCGAATGAATTCTAGTCATCAGCCGAGAATCGAACCTGTGCCATCCATGTGGCAGGCACCAACTACACCTCCATGTAGCACTATCTAATCACTCAATCACCAAGTCTCGTCTGCTCCATTTGACCCTTATGCTCACTCCACTTATCTCCCGTGTTTGACCCTTGTGAATATTTCACTCGTTTGCCTCATTTGACCCTTATGTTCAACTCACTTGTCTCCCGCGTCTGACCCTTGCGATGACATCACTTGCCTGCCTCATTTGACCCTGATGCTGTATTTGTCTCCCCCGTTTGACCCTTGGGATCAACTCCACTCATTTGGTCCATTTGACCCTTATGTTCATTGCATTTATCTCACGCATTTGACTTCAGTGATTACTCCACTCGCTTGCCCCAATTGACCCTCATGTTCATTCCATTTGTCTTCCCCCTTTGATCCTCGTTTATCACTCCACTCGAGTGGAGGTAAAAAACAAAACAAGCAGGGGTTCAAGCCTATCCGACAGAGGGCTTGTGACCGTTACCTTTGCATTATTAGTCTTTACCTTTTTGTCATTTCTACCAATTCCATTGGTAGTGTTACGTATTCCCGTTGGATTCTGAGAAAATAAACGAAAATTATTTATTTTTCAGAAATGTAAGGAAACACGGTTCCATGAAGTTAAGAACGAGATTCGAGATTTTTGGGAAGCCGAATGGAGTTATAGCCGTCGAGCGGCAGCCGACTACAACATGACTTGCCGTTACCAGGTTGAGTTGACATCCTCGATTTTCCGTTCACGGTAACTTCACGGCTTAAATTTGGAGGATCCATCGATCTCCGGGTGTATCGGTTCTTTTCAATTTGCTTACCACTTTTCCTGGATGCTTCGGAGGAAGATATTCTGCTCTGCACTCGGATTATCGTCCTTCTCTAGGCCGAAACAACGAGAGCGCCCTTGAATCCACAGGTGGTCAGGAACGAAGATTCTCGGACAAAATGTTCGAATAAAACTGTCAAATAAAATATAGAAATTCACTGGATACAGTTCTTTAAAATATATACTCTCGATAACTGATGAAATACTGAACACTTGAATGGAATAGAATTTATATATTATTTTAAGGATTTCACGCGTCGGATGCAGAAACAATCGAC